CAGGAAAACGGCGCGCGTGAGTGTCGGAACGACTGCAATTCCTCACCACCATTCCTCCTCCATCGACCACAACCCATCCCTCGACTCTCTCTCTCTCTCTCTCTCTTCCAATTTCCATTCCAATCTCTTTCAACCTGCATTCGTTCGCTTTCTCCGTCTCTCTCGGCTCACGGTTTCTTCCCAGGTTCCTCCACTTTCATCTCCCTTCCCCGGGTTCGATCCTCCGTTTACTTTGTCTTCTTCTTCGTTTTGGGTTTTGATTCGATTCTAGGAGCCCAGAAGGGACGTTGAATCCGTCGGCAGAGGCGGACAAGGACCAAAAATGGGAGACTATGGGATGAAACCGGTTCTTCAGAAACCTCCGGGTTACAGAGACCCCAACATGGGTGGCGGTCCTCCGCCACCGCCGCCGGGAATCAGACTGCCGGCGAGGAAACCTGCACTTCCGAAATTTCAACCGAAGAAGAAACGCCGGAGCTGTTGCCTGTCCTGCTGCTGCTGTTTCTGCGTGGCTCTTCTCCTCATCATCTTCCTCCTCATCGTCGCCTCCGCCGTCTTCTACCTCTGGTTCGACCCAAAACTCCCAACCGTCAGCCTCGCCTCCTGCCGCCTTGACCAGTTCAAAGTAGTCCCCGACCCAGACGGCGCGACGCTCTCCGCCGCCGCAATGGCTCGCGTCGAGTTGAAGAACCCCAACGCGAAGCTGGCGTTGTACTTCGGCGACACGGACATGGCTGTGACCGTGGGTCAGGGGATCGAAGAGACGTCGCTCGGGTCGGCGACGGTGCCAGGGTTCAGACAAGGACCTAGGAACACGACGAGCATCAAGGTGGCGACGGGGGTGAAGAACGAGCTCGTCGACAACAACGTGGCGAAACGTCTCGCGGCGAAATTCCAGAGCAAGGATCTACTAATCAACGTGGAGGCGAAGAGCAAAGTGGGGCTGGGAATTGGGAACGTGAAGATCGGAATGCTCGGTATTACCTTGAGATGCGGCGGCGTCAGCTTGGACAAGCTCGACTCCGATTCTCCCAAATGCATCCTCAACACCCTCAAGTGGTGAACACCCCATTCATAATTTCGATCAATGTATCCACTTTTGTCTGAAATCACGTCGGAATCTGCAATGTTTTGACGATAAAAATGGCATCTTTGGTTGCAGGATAAACATACACTGAGGAGGAAGAAGAACACTCGTAACTATACTGAACAGTAGCTGCTGTATCTGCCCATGTTTCTCGTTATTTATACTTATATTATTTATTTTGGTTTTAAAATTATGTTTATTATTGTTGTTTTGCATTTGGGATTGAAAAGATTCGAGACAATGGGTTGTAATAACACTACACGCAGGTTGGCGTAAGCGATCTTGAGAGGGAGAGAGAGAGAGACTGTAATCAAATTAAATTTTCTTTTTATTTTGATTATTTGGGGCTTGTATTTTACATTCCTTCTTGGCATAAATAAATCAGTAGTTTTTTTTTTCGTCTAGCTTCATGTATATGAAAGATATAACCACATGCATGCATATATATATGGATTGGGCTAATTTTGATTTGTACGGTCGGGTGTTTTTGGTAAATACAGAGTGTAAATATTTTTAGCATATATAAAGATATAATGCAACCTTGACAGTCCAAGGATTTAAGGTGGACTGTCACTTGCACATATAGAGATACACACCCTTCTCATTTTAGCCATATTTTATTTATTTTTTTAACAAAATTATTATATTTGTTAAAACAATGATAGACCACCGCCTCAATGAGAAATTTAATTTTGGAAATGCATCATTGTCATATACATTTTATTATTATTGTATATATATGGGAAGGGAATTAGATTTTACCAATGAAAAATAATTAACACGAAAATAAACGGCGAGGGTTTTACAATATATAAAATGTATAAAGCAATCTCTCTGTCTCTCCGGAACCAAAAACCCAGGAAACGCACACATCAGAAACAAGTCAGATGTAATGGAAGCTGGATTAGTAATATCCACGAAAAGCCAATAACAAATTACCGAGAAATCAGACGGTGGGCGATGGAGATTCAGAAGAAGCGGGAGGAAGACGCATCCAGAGGGTGTATGAGGTACGTCACCACCAATGCCACCGCCATTAGCAAATACGCTATTCCTTGGTCAATCGATGTCCCTGTTTCACCCCCCTCCCCCCCAATTTCCCTCATTAGTCCCCGATTAGGGTTCATCCTCATCACCAAACACGGATTAAACATATGGTTGTCTGGCTTCTAATCACAATGTGCGTGAAGAAAACGCGACAAATTCAAAATTCCGAAGGACAGAGTGTTTCAGATTTCACGCGGAGTGAACTAGAACCGAAAATCTGAAGAAATGAGCATTCACATCTGATACTAGAGAATTTCATGTCGAATAAGAAAACATGAGAACTCACCGTCACTGGTGGGAGCAGGAGCTGGAGCTAAGGACCGGGCGCCGGTGAAGACGAAAGCGAAGAGGGCAAACACGGCAAAGAAAATCTCCAATGCCATCTCTGGATTTCTTTCGGACGAGATTTGCCGGGAAAATAACGAAGCAGTCTCTGCAGGAGAGGAGTAGAAACACTCGATGGAGAAGAGGGAGAGAGGCGAGTGGTTCTCACGCTCTTATAGCGGAGGATTCGTAACAGGGTACCGACTACAGCCGGTTGACGCATATTACCTTTTTTTTACATATATATATATATATATTATCGTCTCTCGGTGATTTTGATTAGTCAAATTCAAGACAACTGCTTTAGATTAATATACACATAATGTCTAAATTTCAAAATTTGAAAATACTAATCTGTAAATAGTTGGATGAAATAGAATTTAAAATATTTGTTGACCAATTAAAAAATATTTAAATCGATGACAAATTAAAACAATTTCCTGAACTATTTAGAACCAGAGAAAACATTTTTTTAATCTGATTGGAAATTGTAATTGAAGTACTGGTGAAATAATTTTGGAGATTTTTATTTTATATATTAATATATTAATATATAAAGAAATAAGTAGGGCTTATTTTAAAAAAAAAAATATATAATTGTAAAAAGAGATTTACCCATGATATAAAGAGTGTGATGGGTAAGAGGGGCAAAATATATACCAAACGTGACAGCGACGAGGCCATGTGATTTGCTCCATCTCTCTCTCTCTCTCTCGAAAAATGTGTTTTCTAAGAAAAATATGAAATAAAGATTATGACTAATCTGCATAATGTTTTAGCTTATTTAATTTATTTGAGTAGATGTTACTGGTGAAAATGGCTTGCAACGGCTATCAAGTGCTAATCAGCGTGATTATAGGTTAATCTGCCGAGATTTGAATTTTGGTTGTGATCGAATCTTTTTGTTGGGTGACTTAATTTGAAGGGATATATATAGACGAGAGAAATTAGCCGTTTGGTTTTATATATTATATAAACCCGTGGGGATATATAATCATAAAGGTTTTTTAGCTGTTGCTGCTCCGATACCAAGCCCGTCAAGTAATTTGGGCCTAATTCAGCCCATTTGGATTGTCATTGACGGCCCATTTGGATTACGTCAGAAGGCTGCATTAGTAATTTGGGCCTAACACATGCAAACCGACGACAAGCTGTGAAGGGCAATTTAGGAAATTTGCTGCCGCCTCAAGCATTTGACGAACTCTTAAACATATGAACACTCAGGAATGACTGAATTACAATGAAGAATATTTTTGATCAAAATATAAGGGAAAGATTACTTCATTTTCTGTATTTGCCCCCAATCTTGTTCGAGGGACAGTGGCAGATTCCTTCAACAAGAGAAGTCCGGTCTGGGTCGATAACTGATGCAGTGTGGTCATGGCTGATGTTGGTTCAGGTCAACCGCCCTGCCTTGGACCCGGAATGCAGGTATCAGTGTACCATTACCGTTAGGACCGTTCGAAATGTTACATCGGAACAACAGGTCCAAATATCTCGGCGTCCAATTCCCAGGAAGCAATGCGGGGACGAGGGCTATATATATATATATATATGTATGCGTCAAACCAGTTTCAGTAGTTTCATGGTTCCGGTAGAGTTGGCAGCAACTAGCATGTTTGAGTTTCGTCTCCAACAGACACTCGACACAAACTGTCCATTCTCATCATGGAACTCGTTTCCCGAAAGAGGATCCACCAATCCAAACTTGTACGAAGTTATCGGCATTGATAAAGATCTGTAATAACTATATACCTGCGCAAGTAAATGTGTGTAAAGAGGGGTTAGGACTAATTGACATGTGCATATAAACCTATTCAACAATTGCCAATAAGAGCAACTGAAGCCATCTAATCCAAATACCCCCATTCTAATAAGTTCATATAGAAAAGCTAAAGAGAACTAAAGATCTAAAACGCAACCAACACTCTCAGATCACCCATCACAGAGTAAGCAGCTGAGTTGAACACACCAGGTTACACAACGAGCGTATATAAACCACGAGAAAACCGACAAATACCAAGAATACCATAAAAATATCTACATAATACGAGAGAATGTTATCTGCATATTACCTCATTGGTCTCTGAACCGCAGGCTATGTATCCATCCATAACTGACAACCCGACAAAATTCTGTACAGGTGAAGATTAGACATCAGAACTAACAAAAGGTATCGAATGACGATAGAAATCAACGGAAATCTATAGTAGTTTGCAAGCAACCTTTTGATTTGTGTGTCCTTGAAATGTCAATGAACAGGCACCGGGAGATAAACCAGATGGGTTTGTATTGTTAAGATTCCACATCTTGAGAGAGCTATCTGTCGATGCAGAAACGATGGTATCTGAATCCATAAATTTCACATAGCTAACAGCTTTCTCATGGCCAGCTAATGTGCACCAAGGTGTTCTGACATGCCGGAGATCATAGCAGTACACCTTGTAATCAGCTGATCCGAATGCCAGTAAGTGATTGGAGGAAGCAGAGAATTGCACACAACAAACATTTGCGGGGCTCCGGATCGTGCCTATCGACCGTTTCTGCAAACCATCAAGTAAGAAATAGTTCCGATTCATTTAGGAAACAGCATCGCCGAGCATAGTTATAGTATATAGGCCTAGATTGAAACAAGGAAGCCCAGTGTTTCACAATACAGATGCGAGAGCAAACTACTTATCATCGGCTATAACAATCTTCAAAGAGAATCAGTATCCACAATACATACTTTCTCAGTGCAAGGGTAAGAAATAAGGAGAAGAAGCATGCCTCATTGATGCTCCAAAGCTTCACAGAACAATCATCACTTCCGCTGACAAACTTTGTCGGGTCAGATGGAGAAAAATCAACTGACCAGGCTCTTCTCTGATGCTCCGTGTACTGAGAAAATCCTTGTCCAGTCCCAGCATCCCATATCTGCATTCACCGAGCACCATACTGTAAGAAATTGTGAAGTAAAAACAAAAACACATCTACATTGTCCCTAGTTCCTCTATATATATACATATGTATGAGATCAGTTAAACATCCATTTTGTAAGCATTTCATAGGAAGAAGCATAAGAGACTGTATCTGATAGCCCCAGTGTATGCAAGAGAATGTAAATCAGGAAATTTGAGGAAACATTAATTTCCCTACGCACCTGAACCACACCATCATAGTCAGTTGAGGCCAAGTAGTTTTTTATGTAACTATTCCAGCAAACACAGCTTAATTTAGATTTGTTGCACATCTCTACTAACGGGTAATGGACTGTTACAGAGTCATTCACAAATGCTCCGACGTCAAAAATCTTGATTCTCTTTGATATCCCAGCAGCTGCTATGTGTTCTTCATCACGGTCAAAACTCAGAGAGCAGATCACACTCGCAGAGTTCAAAAGATCTCCACTCCTTATAGTCCCACAGGTTTCAAACTTACCATACCGAGCAAGCTTGCACAAATCCTCGAAAAACAATTCACGTTGATCAGATGATTTCCCTTTCGGTCTCGACTCTTGATTCTCGTTTTGGATATCAGAACACCTATCTCTGTCCTTCAGTAGGCTTTTGTCAGAGCGGGCAGTGGTAGCAGAATCTGACAAGTTCATTTGGGATCTCATGAAGTAATATGCATCTTCAAGCTGACGGATATTACCCATCAGTCTATCTGTATTTGCATTAGACACAGAAAAGGTACTAAATTGAGAGGGACAGCTTGGGTCTATTGGATATGATTGCAGTCTTCTATCATTGTCCCCCTGAAATTTGGTCGGGGATGTGTTTGAAGAGTACCTTCTCTCTGCCTCTTTTATGTCTTCATCTAAGGTCTGAATGTCTTGCAACCACTTAGATTCCTGTTTCTGCTTCTGCTCTTTTAGTGAAGTTAAAAAGTGAAGCAATAGCTCTGACACCTCATCATCATCATCGGCGGTGGATATGGTGCAATCATCATGGCTTATCAACTCAGACTTCAGTATTTCTCTGTTCCAGAAAAGGGAAGAGCAAATCAAGACCATAAGCACACGAAGTTGCATGCCGAATTATCATGATTACGAGGAAAAACAGTGGATCAAAGACAGGAAATCCAGCAATGAAATATTGCAAATGAATAATACAGCTAATGAAAAGTATTACTGCCAAAAGCTAAACATGCTTCTATGTGCTCTACTAGCAGATTTTACTTTTTGGCAAAACAAATTTCCATGTAAGCTGTTAAATGGATCCCATTGGCTAACGACGAAATTTTTTTCATAATTCATTTGCAGACTATCACACTATGGATGGTGAACCTGATATACCAAGCAGCAACCAAGTGAAACTTGCACATAATAATACCTAGCTGTTGGTCTAGATGAAGGTTCAGGATGTAGAAGCCAAAGACAAAATCCAGCTTCCTTGGGGTTTTTCGAAAGAAATCTTGGCGGAAGAATCCGAAGGCATAAATCTGACATCACTGCAGGATGAATCTCACTTGACTCACAATCGCACAGCAACTGCAACAACCACAACCAAGCTAGTGAGATCAGTGCGCTTTCATTCGCAGGAACAAGACGAGTCAATGGAAAAAGTGATAAGTATGACAACAGAGTAATGTCAACAAACTAGATTATAACTGTTCAAAAGTCATGCCTCGTTAACGATACAAGAGAGCTAAAATTTATTTAAAGTCACTAGAATGTAAAAAGAGAAAAAGCTAGAAGCAGACTCCACTAAAGTCTGGCCCGATGGCCTACAACCATTTAAAACAAAGTATACAAGCGGTTGATTAAAAAAAAACATAGTGCTCAAACTGCCAAAGTATTTAAATGGATTTTGAGGACATACCATGCAAGAAATTAGACACCCCTTCCTGTGGTACACGAATATAGTAAGAGAGAAAGTGGACTGAAAAGCTTATCATACGTATATACTAGTAGATATTCTCACCTCAAACAGAAGAGCGCCAAGAGAATATATATTTGATTTAAATCTGCCGTCATCCCCATTTAGCTCCTCAGGACAACTATACCACTGCTCTTCTAGCCGAAGAGCCGTGGGCAACGACTGTTTTCTCATCAAGGAAGACATGCCTGAATGGTTGGAACGATTTTGATATGGGTGCTCATAACAGTCTAAATTCCAAGTATCAATCGAGTTTAAATCAATCTCAGGGCTGGCCCTTCTTCCAGATCTCCAAGTTGAGGCAAACTGCAGGTGACTACCTGGAGAATGCACACGGGCGTCCATTTTTCTTTGCTTCAAACCTCTAGCTGGAGTAGATGATTCTTGCACTAAGAACCTCTTCCTACTGACATCTTCATTGACATCAGCGTGCAAATCTTTCTTGTCAAAAGAGCCTATGTATTCAAGCTTGTCAGGTGGATAAACAGTAAAAAAAGAAGGCCTTAAGTGCTGCAAGAAGAATCCTTGCGAGTGTGCTGAGTCAACCAGCTCAACAAGCTGCCTAAATAATAGAAGACTCTGAACTTTGGTTCTTTTAGGACAACCTGATCTCAGATATTCCCTCAAATTGATTCCACAGGGAGAAGATTTAGGATAATCCTCATCAGCATCATATAATATAGTGGTGTTGTTTTTGGTACTTGATTTCACGTTTAATGCATCACGGATATTAGGTGGCTCGATATCCACCCTTTCTTCCTTACTTCCAATGTCTTGATCACCACCAAAATCAGGATGACTTTCATGGATTTTGCCAACCTTTGTCTTCCCCTTCATAGCCCTTTTAAGAATCAATTGTGAAAAACCCGAAGAACTTGAATTCATTTTAAGTTGGGTACCCTCACTGGTCAATGCAGAAGCATTCATGACATTCTTGTCACCAACCACTCTTACACGTCCAGATGCAGCAATGGGAAACTGATTGCTCCGCCTGCTCATAAAAGGTTTCAGGTTCCATCTTTCAGAAGGAGCTCTAGCAAGCTGTTGTCTGATTTTAGACAACATCTGATCCATGTCCTGAGGCTGAGAGTCAAGGTCCTCATCTGGAGTCTGAAAACCAGACCCGTTTGCCAAACGATAGAGATGATCAAACTTTTCAGCCTTGGAGTTGCCCGTATTACTCCCTAGAATCAAACCCGGGTTCCGATAATTCCCAACTGTCAACTCTTCAATAGAAGCTCTCGTGGTGGTATTCTCAACAAAGTAATCACTATTAAGTGGCGGTCCTGATCCATTGAGAGAAACCACGGGCTTGGCCAAGTCCTTGCACTCAGAAGCATCTAGTACACTCCTGTGAAGTGAGCTCGCCGGGCAATCATTCCTCAAAGGGTCGTTCAAAGTTTGTGATTCAGTGATAATGTGATCATCCAGCTTACATGGAACATTATTCTCTCGACCTTCCAATTGAATGTTGTTACTCGCCACAATTTCTTCCCCAACTCCTTCCATATCAGACTAGCTTTCACCGCATTCGAAGCGGATAATTTGCAGCCTCCATGCCCTAATATTTTCCAGGAAAGCAACAAAGCATCACAATCCAACGATCTCGCACAAACCCGGTACCCAAGCTCAATTCTCCAGTCAGGCATGCATGAGCCAAAATCCTAAAGAGATCAGTAAAGATCGGAAAAGGCGAACCCATAAAGCCCTATCTGATCACAGACAGCAAAGATCATCAAAACCAAACGTATTCACAGCAATCTGCGTAATCTCAAATTAACACGACAAAAAGCCACCAGAAAAGCAAAGATTCACGTGAAATTCCAACAACAAAAAGGGATCGTTAGAAGAATACGGTGAAAAAACGAACAACATCAGATCGCTTACCAGAAGACAGCGGCGGAGAACTAGCAGATCATGAAGCAAGAGAGAACAAGAATCGGAGCAGAAGCGGGTGAACTCAGACGGCGAGTCACGTAAGCAAACGAGCTCCAGAGAAATCCCAACTCTTTCGGAAAACTCCACAGTGGAGAGGGAGAAAGAGGCTACAAACTTGCCATAACGGGAAAATATCTTCTCGAAACACGGCAAACGACGGAATGAGTCTTATCATTACAGTAGAAAGCGTCTCTTCCTTTCTTCACCTTCCTCGTCTTCTTTTTCTTTTTCTATTTTTAACTTCCTCATAATAAATTTAATAATTTAATTTGCCAAAAAAACTCGACATGTCTTTTTATTCTGGCGCACAAATTTTGAACCTTATTTTATTCATTTATTTATTATTTATTGAAGGGAGGAAACTACTTTTTTTTAGTACCACTTTTTTCCCCTTGGCAGCCGAGCTGGAATTCGTCATTTTTTTTAATTTGTGCATATAATCCGAACAAAAATATTACTAACAATTACTCATTAGATAATTTTATCTATAAAAAATCTGCAATTAAATTTTAATTCACATCAATAATTATCACTACAAAATATTGAATATTTTTTTACAACAAGTCAACAACTGTCGTAAACCAATGACTACCCAAGCATTTATATTTTCGATAAGTGACGCCAGCTAAGAAGACAGTGCTGTACTTTGCGCTATTTACGTATCTGCCACTCCGGTGTTTTTTCGTATGGTTCTTGGTCGGCTCCACATTGAAGGAAGGTGGCATGTTCTGTAATTTATTGGGAAATCGAGGGGCAATAGGAAAGTGCAGGGGAGGGGGGGGGGAATCTTGGGAGATTTAGGTTTAGAGGAGGAGAATGAGACACGTCACGTCACGTCGTTTAATCTAATTCGCGTGGTCACGTGGAACGAGCGGAGATTAACAAGCCATGATACATCAAGATACTAAAACGCTCATGACACAGAATGGGCCGGGCTTTTAATATTGGGCTATTTTGAATGGCCCAACAACCACAGCCAGTGCTGACATGTCTACCATCTATATGCTGACGTGGATGTGGGGTCGAACAAAATAGGAAATTTGGGTTGTGGGGTCAGATGAATGAATGGCCCATCATCGGAAGGGACATGAAGATGCCGCTAATTTGGGAAAGAGAGCTTCATCTCTCTCTCTGTTTTGGCCGACAGATGAAACGGGGGAGAGAAATGGATGCCGACGATATGGCAGAAACGCCGAGCGGAATGGGACGAGAGGAGGGGGAGTCGTTCATGGCGGAGGTAAACCTGGTGGTGGTGTTGCTCTCCCAGTTGTACGGGTCGGATGAAGCGCAGGAGACGGTAAAGGAGCAGCATGAACGGGAGGAGATTAACGAGGCCAGGGCTCGTGCTCAGAAAAGGATGACGAAGGAGACAAAGCTCATGGAGAGGAGGACCCACGTGCTTCACTCCATGACTAAAGAATTCAGGTGCCCTTCTTCTTCTATTGTATTCCATTCTATCCATCCAGAGAAAAATCACATTTTCGTCTCTTTAAAACTCGTACGTCCGTGTTCATGCTGCCAGGCATCACAGGAAAATGTGAAGAATCGGCCCAAGAACAAGAACCGGATGTGCTATTGAATCATAATATATAAAACTCTCCACTTTTTTTTTTATTTGACCCCCCCCCACCCCTTTGGCTATTCATCTGC